GCTGTATATAATATATGTGATACTTGACATAATTGAAGTTTTACAGATGTTTGTGAATGAGATTAATATTCAAACAACCGTGTTTTCGAGGGATCCTGTTGGTCTCAGAGATGATGATAAGGAGAGAATTGTGTATCCAAATTCAGTTTTAGCGGGCAAATACATTCGCAATTTTCAAAAGATTCCAGCTCCCCCAAAACTTAATTTGACTGAGTCTGCAGAGTTTGTTGTTGATGCTTCTACCCCCATAAAGCAGATTCAAGATCTCAAGGCCAGAATAGAGGGGTGAGTCAACATTTAGTTTTCTCTTTGATCTCACTTTCAGGTGGTGTTTGATATAAATGAATTCCATAAAAACAAATGTGGAAAACATTTGTAAATACATATATTTTTGTGTTAATTTGGTTTAGTTAAAAAGTTTTTATTTTAATTTCATGATATGAATTCTAAATCTGTGTTTGGCTTGATTAAAAAGTCTTAAATTTAATGTAAATTAACTTCTATATCATGCATTTCTAATTCAAATTTGTTCCATTTTAATGTGATTTCAAAACGAGTTCCACATTTTTAATTAAATCAAGTATTTAAATAATTAAATATACTTCTCAAATCAAAACTCTGTTTTTCTCTTTTAAAATTAATAATTAAGAGTACTTTACAACAAAATTTAAAATATTAAGCTCAATTTTATTTTATTTCAAATATAATACTCTATCTAGTTTGAATTAATTTAAATGAAAGAAACTTAAACTTTTAAAACATCTAAATTCATTTAGAGCCGAATTTTGTTATGAACTTATTTGAAAATTAATGTAATAATTTTGCATACCAAATATAGCATCGTATATACATATATATATATATGTATATATATATTTAATTTATAGAATTGTATTTGTTGGAAACTAAAGAGAAAAAAAATATTTAAAGAAATGTTTATTTCTTTTTTGATTATTTTTGTATGTATAATAATTTTTATATATAAGTGTTTATAAAAAATATATTTTAGAGTATAAAATGTTTACAATAAATATACAAAATATAAATATAACTTAAATAATTAATTGTTAATTATTGAATTTACATTTTAAAAGCATTTCATTTCAGTGACATGAAGACAAAGGAATGGATAAAAGACATCAGCGTACGTGCTAATGGCTTTGAAAATGGAGACAAGATAAAAATGACCGTCAATGTTACTTACAAACGCCTCGGGACCAAGGATAAAAGAAACGACTGGAAATCTGGAATAGTGTTGGGGCTGAAGCAAATTCTTGAAGACATGGGTATTTCTAAATTTACACCTCAAGTTGAACCCCCACCTGTACCTGCATTTTAATGATGACAGTCTCTGAACTTACCCATTTCTCTAATTTCTACATGATAGAGGTAAGTATGTAGCTTTCTCACGTATTTTTTGCAAAATTAATTTCTCAAGAACTGTGGAGACAATATGCTATAATTAGTGGGGAATTTCTGGTCCTATTCATGATTTGCTCAATAATTTATCTTCTTAATTTCTTGCAGAATGAAGGACTAATTTCAAATAAGGGATGACGTGAGGTGTGAATGATTATTTGCTTTTCTGTTATTTGGTCAATTTGGTTATGGCGTCACCAAAAGATTTTTTCAGAAAAATGTGATTGTCTAGATGGAAATTTTAGAACTTGCTCGAGTTTTAGATCTTGGTTGTGGATAAAAGCTAAAGTAAAGGGCCCGGTCTTTCCCGGTCTTTCCTTTTATATTAATGGTGTTCTCGTGCAAAGAAGCGCCTAAGGTCATGCTACAGCACAGCTTCCTGATTTGGAGTGTCTGCTTTGGCATGGAAAGAGGCAGTAGAGGTATAGAGTTGGTAGAGTAATATGATACAGATGCTGCTACTGGTGAAGTTCCAAGGGAAGAAATAGGGCTCTCATTTGGTGATTGCAGTAAGGAACCAGAAATTTTTTCTCAAAATGAGTTGATAGTCTTTGATTGTTGTTGTTTTTATGTTCTGTTGTTGCCCGGATGTTACTAGTACGCTTCGCTGTGTGAAATGCTGGAATATATGTTCTGTTCACACTGTTTTCCCTTTTTTTTTAAAGGGTGTGGGGGAAGTTTGTTACTGTTTGCTCTGTTTTTATTTTTTACTTTTTAAAATATTATTGAACCGACAACAGTATTTTCAGATTAATTTACAGACACTTTAAAATTAATTTTTCAATTCATGTCAAAATTAAAAAATTTATTTGAGAATATTCTATTCAATTGGAACTTTATTTGAGAATTTCATATAGTTTGGGACCTTAATTGAGCGTAATTGAAGTTTGGGTCTAAAATTATGAATTTTGTGCAAGTTTGAGTCCTTATATCACATTTTTGCCAAATTAATTTCTTAAAGAACTGTGGAGACAATATGCTATAATTGGTGGGGAATTTCTGGTCCTATTCATGATTTACTCAATAATTTATCTTCTTAATTTCTTGCAGAATGAAGGACTAATTTCAAATAAGAGATGGAGTGAGGTGTGAATGGTTATTTGCTTGCCTGTTATTTGGTCAATTTGGTTATGGCGTCACCTAAAGACTTTTTCAGAAAAATGTGATTGTCTAGATGGAAATTTTAGAACTTGCTCAAGTTTTAGATCTTGGTTGTGGATAAAAGCTAAAGGGCCAGGTCTTTCCTTTTATATTAATGGTGTTATCGTGCAAAAGGGTGCCTAAGGTCATGCTAAAGCACATCTTCCTGATTTCGAATCTCTGTTTTGGCATGGAAAGAGGTGGTGGAGGCATAAAGTTGGTAGGGTAATATGATGCAGATGCTGTTACTGGAAAAGTTCCAAAGGAAGAAATAGAGTTCTCATTTGGTGATTGCACTAACGAACGAGGATTTTGTTCTAAAAATGAGTTGAAAATCTTTGATTGTTGTTGGTTTTATGTTTTGTTGATGCCCAGATGTTATTAGTATGCTTGACTGTGTGAAATGCTGGAACATATGTTCTGTCAACCTTTTTTTTTTTCTTTGGGTGTGGGGGGAGATTTGTTGCTGTTTACTCTGTTTTTATTTTTTATTTTTTAAAAATATTATTTTAGCCATAAAAGTATTTTCAGGTTAATTTACACACATTTTAAAATTAATTTTTTTATTTCATTAAAAATATGTTATTTATGTTAAAATTAAAAAAAAAATTATAGAAAATTTATTGGATTTTTCAAAAAATCATTTTTATTAATAAAGATGAGAAACAAACTTGTTACTAATTAAGTTACAACTTTTTAATTACTATTTATTCTTTTGTTATGTTTTTATTTTTTCGTCTCATTTTAAATTTGCATAAAGTATATTAATCAAATATATAAAAACATAATGATTAGTGTTTGAAATTTCACATATGTCCTTGATAAAAGCCCTTCCACTCACTCATTCATTAATATAAAAGAGTAGTGCGAAGTATATTTGAAGCAGAAAATTTCATATCTTCTAAAATATAAAGTCTGACAAATAAAGAAAAACACATTTATTAACGAGTAGGAGAACTAAAAAAATTTGGAGAGAGAGTGCAATTTTAACATCTGATCTCTTAGGGTTGTGGGGTTTGTGAGACTGTTTATTTCTTGATTAAATTATAAAATTAAATAATTTTAAGAGTTAAATTTATTGATAAATAATTATTATTTTATAAATTTGGTTTAAAATTTAAATATTAAGACAAGTATTTAAAAAAATTAATTTTTTAAATGTATTAAGTTTATATAAAAGATTTGCTCATAAAATTGTCCAACAAGAGATTAATTTCAAAATACACAAAAAATGATTTAAAGATACCTGACGTTTTAAAAGGAAAAAATTAAATTAAAACTAAGAAACGTCTATAAGAAATTATGAATCATTGAGTTTTAATGTCTATTTATTTCCTACATTAGCAATGAATCAAACGATATATATTTCATTATTTCTTAAAAAATAGAATGAATTCATATTCCTTATTTATCCATTAGTTTAATAAAAAAAATTATCAATATTAATACTTAATTATTCCTAATTTCTTAGGAAAATTCCTCAATTTTATTTTATTTTTACAATTTATTAAAAATAAAATAGTACTACTAAGTAATCATTGGTCTTAAGAATTACGTCTGTATCTAAGCCCAGCCCAAAAAAATGCAAAGGCAGTAAAGACTTCAGCCCAGCTCTTGTCATTCATGTAGCACACTGATTGACTAATTCTGTCTCCCTAATTAGAAAAATGATAATGTTATGAGAATAATTTTTTTTATTCAGTACTTATATAATTTTTATATATTGTTAAATAATTTAATATATAATATTATACATTTTATTAAAATAAAAAATTAATAATTAAATAATATATAAAATTATTTAAAAAGATATCTCAATAATTTTTCTTAAAAAACCAATCATTTTTGCCACTTAAAAAACTTGTTTAATATTAAAAAAATATATTTTTTAGGTTGATTTATAAAAAAATTGGCATAAGAATGGGGAAAATTATTTATTTACAATACTTACAAAAAATTAAGTAGAAAAATATTTTAAAATAATGTCATTTTAATAAAATCTTTTGAAAAAATCTAAAACATTCTAGTTTTTAAAGTAAGAATGAAATTATTTTAAATTTTTGTGTTATTTTTTTAAAATAAAAAAATTTTAAATATTTTTTCACTTTTAAAATTAAATTTAGTT